AACTAGGAAGAGGGAAGGATGTATTGGGCACCCACTAAGTGCCAGGCACTGGGCTGTGCCCCAGGAATACAAGCAGCAGGGGGAGTGGCCCCAGGCTGGCATCCCTGGGGAGTCAATACACAGCCTCTCACCTGGCCGTATTCAAATCCCAGCGCAGCCCTCTGGGCAGGCGCCCGTGCCTCCATCTCACGGATGAGGACACTGCAGGCCGCACACGAGACCTAGCGGAGTCTGAGCCACACCCTGTGGGATGGAGATGCCCAGGGTGGACACAGGTGGCTTTCCGTCCCCAGCTGCCACTTCCCCACCTTCTGGAGATAAGAAGTCCATTTGCTCACAGTGACCCTTTCTTCGCTGGGCGTTTGAGCATCCAAAGAGGCCAGGCCTGCAGGCAGAGAAGAGTCACTGCCGGCCCCTGCCCCCCTCCAGCCCCCAGGCTGCAGGGGAGAGGAGGTGGGAGGTGCTGCAGTGGGCACAGCTCGAGGGGCCAAGGGGCAGACACAAAGGCATGTGCGGCCAGCATCTGTTCCACACCAGCACCAAGGGATGTGGCAGAAGGACAGGCTTTGGGGGATCACGAGGGTGACCCACAGTTGTGGTTTGCCAAGGACTGAGAGGTCTCCTGGGATGCAGGACTCTGCCCAAAACTGGGAAAATCCCAGACCAGCTGGCATGCGTTGGTCACCCTGCACCCCCGTTCTCCCCTGGCCCAGCCACCAGCTTGGAGCAGAGACTGCCGTGTGCCTCATGAGCAGCCAGCCTCCCATCTTTCAGAAACGACTTGGTTGCATTTCCTTGCCCAGTTCCGCTTCCTCTCCACCCCTTTTTAGAAACTAAGGGCCAGGAATATAGCTCAGCAGCACAGCGCCTGCCTGGCAAGCTCAAGGCCCTGAGTTCGATTCCTGGTACGAAAAAGAATTTAATCTCAGCTCAGTAGATGTTCATTGCTGCACCAAGGTCTTTACTAGACTCTGGGGAATGAATGAGTATTCTTCCCCGGTTATCAGCAGGGACAATGACTAAGGGCAAGTTAGAGGGCGATGGTAGGGGAGGAGGCGGACAGCAGATTCCTCCCCCACCCTGCGGCCAGTGGCAGCGACCAGGGCTGTAGCTCATCCCACTCCCCTCGCTCGCACACCTGCTGAGAGGCCTTGGGGCTGCCGATCCTTGACCCCCGATGGAGAAGAGGATCTTGATGCAGGGCACTGTGGGTGGCTTCATGGGACACCCCAACTTCTGCGCTAAAGCCATGCTCTTCCGGATGGCTCCCTGGCCCCAACTGACTTGGCCCAGGAGCTCCCTCCAGTTGACCATGTCTTAGCTAAGTCTGCATGAAGCTCTGCATGAAGCCTGGTGGGGCCAGGGTCTCATTAAGTCACCAAGTTGCCCAGGCTGTGATCAAACTTGGTCTTCCTTCTGCTTCTGGAACACACTGAGCTCATCGTGTTGCCTCAGGGCCTTTGCACTATCTATTCTTTCTGCTTAGAACAGTTCATCTCCCCAATTTCTGCATGGCTGGTTTCTCAGGTCATTCAGATCTCAGCTGGAATGCAGGCCCTTTCTGAAGACCCTGTAAATCTCCCCACCACACCCCTATTTATAGTGTCTTATAACTTTCTTTCATATTACTTTAAAATTGTGCCTTGTGGTTCTCACCACAGCTGTAAATTGACTTGTTTATTTAATTATTCATTTGCTTACCGCCTGCCTCCCCATTAGAATACAAACTCTGTGAGCTTATCTCATCCCCACCCCAGTGCCTGCCACAAAGATGGTCTACAAACGTCTTTAAATGAATGGCTGTATTTGTTATTTACACCAAAATTCCCTCACCCTGAAAATGGAATGAAAATGAAGAAACAAAACAACCCAGAAGTGAGACTCCAGACGGAAAATGTGGGGACGTTTGTGGAAAGTCCCCCAAGAAGACTTCTATGGTCCCTGATGAATTCTAAGTTAGGATTAAACGGGGCCCACCCCGGAGCCCAGGAGAGAAGGGCGCAGTGACCTCTGCGCCCCAGAAGCACTGCCTGGGGGAGCGAGTCGCCAAAGCTTTCTCCAAGATCCTGCCTGGAGCTTCAGGCTGAGTGCTGGACTTAGAGCAGAATCAGGGAGAGGGCGAAATGGTGTTGCAGGAGGGGACCCCGTGAACGGAGGCAGACAGGGGACATATGCTGGAGTCTCCAGCTCCTTCGCACCATTTGGGGTCGCTGCAGGCAGCGCGGGATGGGAGCTGAGCCTAGAAGAAGGAGCGGCATTCAGATCAGGCCCAGAGAAGCTGACATAAGAGCCGAAGTTTACTGTGGCTTTCCACGTCCCCCTCTTATTCCTCGCTCTACAGATCAGGAAACTGAGGCACGGAGATGGTTTCAGGACCAGTAAAGCGCCCACGATCTGCCCTACTTGCAGATTCACAAGAGAGCCTTGCATGGCTTCATGGGTGTTGGCAGGAGGCTCAGAAGGCCTGGGTCAGAGACCAAGGACACAGACAGTGTGAACTTCAGGAGTCCCCACGCCCCTGGGGCAGCTCAGGCCACCTTCTGAGGAACTGCAGCTCAGCCTTCCCTGCCTTTCACGGCTGCAAGCTGAGCTGCCCCGCCTGCGCCCTGAGCCGAGGATCAGAGAACAGACCTGCTCTCTGGCCCAGAGGGAATCACTGCCTCTGTCTTCCAAAGCTGTTCACCGTACACAAAAGACAACTGAAGAAGGGATGGAGCCACATGTCACTCATCGACGGGACTGACATGCTCATGTCAAGATTTTAAAGTCAGACCTGGGGATAAACAGACCAGCTGGCCTAAGATCCGACTCCAGTCCCTGGACTCCTTTATCCATCTGTCCCAGACTCTCACTGGGCAGCCCACGTAAAGCCAACACCATCCGATGCCCAAGTGATAGTGGCTCTTCTGTCCCTGGCAGAACTCCCTCTCAAGGCCTCACCAGGTGACAGGCAGGTGGGCAGTTTCTCCTGGGGATGCTGCTGGTGCGTTTCTGTCTTCACAGGACACATGAGCTGTACCAGGAGCCCCAGTGCTTCATCCAGGACATCAGGGCTCGTGTCTTTGTCCCTAAAACACTTCCTCCACGCTGTGCTGCCGGGTTGGGTTTTCGGGTCACTACCTCAGTGAGTCCTAACGCAACAAGCACAAGGCTCAGGCTTGCTATGCTCCTATGTCACGGCTCAGAGCTGGACGACAATCCCTGACTCCCAGAGATGGCAGATAGCGTGGCCATGGGCTTGGAGCACATTCTTGGGGACCACTGGACGGTGCCCCTGTGACTAGACAGGGTCTCCCCGGGGCTGTTGCCTCCTCAGAAATGTCTGGTGTCCCCACAACCAACGGCCCAGCATTCTGCAAAGACCACCATGGTGGCTGCGGTGGGCCACAGACTCCAGCTGGAGCTCCCCCTTCAAGTCAAGAATGCAGGTGCAGGCCGAGGATATAGCTCAGCAGCACAGTGCCTGCCTGGCAAGCACAAGGTACTGAGTTCGATTCCTGGTACCATGCCCCCTCCAAAAAAGAATGTAAATGCAGAAAAAAGGGTCTCAGTTAGCAACTCCCACAGGTGCAGGCCACAGCAGGACACCTATGGCCCTTCCAGCCCTGGGAATCCACACTGACCAAGGACAGCCCAGTGGGAAAGTAGAACTGGAGCAGCACTATGCAGTAGGATTCTTTCTAAAGCGTTTAATTAAGTTAATTTTCAACAAAATGCATAAGGACAGTTTTGACTTCACACACACACTCTCTTCCTGCCCACCTCTCTCCCTGCTGGTCCCTTCCCTCCCTGGCCCTCCTAGCCACCAGGGTTCTTCCTACCTGTCGTCCTCACTCAGAGGACAAGGAGCGGGCAGGGTCTTCTCCCAGACCTCTGATGTTTGTGTGCCCCAAGGATTCAGAGGAGGGGTTTCTGCTACTGCCTGGAACCGCGGAAAGGTTTTCTGCATGAAGGTGGAGGGGAGCGAACTCTCGCTCCTTTGAGAGGTTAGAGGTGGCAGGCGGCAGGCAGGTGGCCCGAGTATAAACCGAGTTAACGTCAAACACCCCCTCCCCAAGGCGCCCCCCCCCCCGCTGCTCTGACTGGGAGCCGGGGTCTGACCAGCGCTGCTCCCACGCATACCAGATGTGTGACCTTGGGCAGCTACTTGACCTCGGCGGGCCTCAGTCTCGTTTGCATCGTGAGCCTGTCCAGGCAAGGATTTATTTCAGCGCGCGCAGCACAGAGCCCCACGCGGAGGGAAAGGGCCCCCACAAGGTGGCTGTTGGCACCCCCTTCGCCGGGAGGAAGGGGCCCGGAGGACAGGAGGGGAGGGTGGGGTCGCCCAGGAGTCCACTGCCGCGCGTTCTCGCTGCACCCCCGGCGGCGCCTGCACCCAGGCGCCCGGCACGGAACGGGTGCGGGGCTGGGCCAGGGCCGGCCCGGGGGAG